AATTCATGATTCAAATAAGAAACACAAAACAAGGAAAAAAACTTATGGTTATGAAAAAACTATATACAGAAAACATTAAATGCTCACCACACAGATCCCTAAATTTCTCCAAAGGTGTCATCAAAACTAATATTCTGAAAAATTGTTCTGATAAAGAAATTAGGTAGGAATTGAAACAACAAGGAATTTTAGAAATTAAAAATATAACAATAAAAAAAAATGAACAAATAATCAAGACAAACACTTATATTTTAACATTTCAAACCCATAGTACACCACAAACAGTTAATATATGTTATGAAAGAATACAAGTAAAAGAGTACATACCAAACCCAATGAGGTGCACAAAATGCCAATTATATGGTCATCACAAAAATATCTGCAATAACAAAAGAGTAATATGTAGCAATTGTGGAGAAATGGGCCACACACACACACAAAAGAAAATCCATGCAAGAACAATAGCAAATGTTATCATTGTGAAGGATATTATACAACATATGACAAAACCTGCAAAACCTATAAAGAACAAAAAGAAATTATTAAAACAAAAATTGAAAATAAAATGTCCTTCCCAGAAGCAAAACAACTAATTAATAAAATGAAACAGACAAATAAATAGACAAAAATGAAACAACAACAACAAACTACAATTGCAAATATAGTCAGAAACACCATCTAAAAGATAGACAAGGAAATCACATGCAATCTAATTTATGCAAAGCCACTTATTAAGATAAATAAAATTAAATAAAACCAACAAGACAGCACTAAACCTAAAATAGACAACAAAACCACATCACAATTGGCACACCAAAACATGGACACAGAAAAAGAAAAAGTTATCATCACTCTGGATGAAACAGAGGAAGCTTGTAACAATTTGACCAAAATAAATAATGAATATCTATCTAATAAAGATGAATAAGTACAAATGACAATAAAAACAACAAAAAAAGAAAATATTAAATTGCTGCAATGGAACATAAGAGGTCTCCAGAGCAACTTTCCGGAACTTCAAATTCTAATAGATGAGCAGAAACCACACATTATCTGTTTCCAAGAAACTAAAACAAGTCCTAATAAAGAAATAAATATCAAAAATTATGTACGATACTCAAAAACATCTACTCCATCACGATCCAACCTTTCAGATGGAGTAGCAATTTTCATAAATAACAAAATAACACAGTCACTCATCAAAATTGAAGAAAATCTTAATTTAATAGCAGTTAAAATTACAACAAATAAAACACTTACCTTTTGTAAAATGTACATTTCTCCAAACTCAGTATTTTAAGCTGAGTCAATATTAGAAGCTATTAAAGATATTCCACGACCTCTGATCCTGCTAGGGAATTTCAATGGCCATAACTACCTTTAGGGCAGTCAACAAAATAATAGACAAGGTAAAAATATAGAGAAGTTAATTACAAGAGGGAACCTAGGTCTAATAAAACCTACAGGCCCCACATATTTCAATGCCGCCTCTTGTACTTTTTCCACGATAGACTTGACCTTGGCCTCTCCAAGCATACAGGAGGATGTCATTTGGAAGGTTAAGCAGGATCTTCACGGAAGTGATCACTACCCAATATTAATTGAAATAATTAACATACACGACAAAATAACAAACAGTAGTAAATTAAACTATAAAAAAACCGATTGGATAAAATTTAGAGAAACATGTTTACATATTTTTTCACAGTGGAGGGACTTAGACGATATTTCAATGGAAAAATGGATTCAAATAATAAAAACATCATTAGAACAAACAATACCTGTAACAAAAAATAATAACAATAAGGTTTTAAACCCATGGTTCAACAAAGACTGCAAAGAAACCATCAAAAACAAACTAGAACATCTTAAAAAATTCCAAAACAACCCGACAATTAATAACTTAATTGAATATAAAAAAAGCAAAAGCTGAGGCACGTAGAATAATAAGGCAGGAAAAAAATTTTGCTGGAATAGATACGTAAACAATATAAAAACTACCACACCAATAGCAAAAATATGGAACATGATTAGGAGAATAAAAAACAAAAATACTGAAAGTCGAATAAGCCATTTACAATACCAAAGAAAAAGTCAGGAAACAGATGAAGAAATAGCCAACACACTAGCAACTCATTTCCGGAATAAATCTTTAATGACCAACCATAACACAACCTTCATTAAATATAAATGGAAAAAGAAAACACACCTTTAAATTTTGAATCTAATAACATCGAACAATATAACCAACTATTTACAATAAAAAAAATTAAAGTCGAAATAGAAAGCAGCACCAACTCTTCTCCTGGCGA